AAGGGACAAAAACCCAAACCCCTATGGCAAACCCTTGGGGGGGCGGGGCGGCTTTTTTTACAACGTGGTGGCCAAGGGAGGAAAACCCAACTCGGATGGCAACCCCCGGGGGGGGGGGGGGGCATACTCATGTTGCGCGTGCCTTGATTGTTACAGACCGCGGTCCTCGAGAGGACGAACGAAGCATTGTTCCTACACGACCTTTAACCGATGGCCAACCACTGTCGGGGTCGGGGGGAGCGGGGATCATAGCCACAACAACAGCCTGCGAGGATGCCATGCGCACGAAACAACTTCAACACCAAGAAAAATCGAGTACCATCGTTTACCTGTATGGACGACAATAACAAACCACGTCGGGGAGGTCACAGAGAAACGCAAGGAACACGCGCAGGGCCGCGAGAAACCTAGTGTGTTTACAAAGCTCCGCCTGTTGTTGCGCACCCAAAGTAAGCAGAGCTACGAGCGCAGCCCCGCTCCGTACTGTACCGTTCCGTACCATTCCGTACCCGGCCGTACGGCCAAACCGTACTATTTCGCACCGTTCCGTACCGTATCGTTCCGTACCGCACCTGGTAGCCGTAGTCCCACCATGACATGATCTTCGCGTCGGGGTCGGTGTTGTGCCGCAGCCAGTAGTACGCCTGGGGTGTGCCATCGTAGCAGGGGGGGGGGGGGCATAGGCAAAGGCGGACAATTTAAAGCACGCACCCCTGCCAACCAACACCGACCAAGCCCTCCGTCTTGCCACCAACGAAAGTACGAAAAACACAACAACCCCGCATACCACATCACACGAAAACACCGGTACACCGGCCGGATCATGCCACAAAAAAAAAAAAAAAATCCTGGGGGACTTTCCCCCTGGGGGTGACCCCGGTTGGGGCGAATTAAAATTAAAAAAAACTTCCCACCACAAAAACACAACAACACCCCAAAAGAAATTGAATCTTGTCAAAAAAACGGGTAAAATGTACCGGAATGTGGAAAAAAAACCGACGTCCAGTATTAACGGCATGACAAACAAAAAAAAAAAAAATGCCGTAAATGCAGTCGTGGCTCCGATACAAGAGGGTGCTGTGACACAGGCCCTCGGCCCTCTTATATCGAAGCCCCGGTACCCAACTATACTTGTAGGAGTCCGTGACAAAAGACAACTCGATTCCGACCCTCTTGTATTGGCGTCCCCCTCTTACAAGGAACAGTCGTCTCCTCTTTCAAGACGCCATCTTAGGTCAACTCCCCGGTTTAAGGACCCAAACAAACATCTCAGCAGCAAGGTGCCCCGCAGATATACAACATGCAGGGGGGGGTACCGTTTCTTAAACACGATGCCCCGCGTTGAAGGCGCTTCCGAAAACGTGTGCATCTTCAAAGCGGGGACGACTACTGCTGTACCCTCTTATGTCGGAGCCCCGATACCCAACCAAGTATACTATAGAGGGTCGAGTCCGTGACAATCGAGTTCGACCCTCTTACAAGCCCCCTCATACAAGGGTTCCCGACTACAAGTATACTTGGCGAGTAAAACGGGTCGAGTGCGTGACAACCCATTTCGACCCTCTGATACACCGGAGCCCCCTCCAATTAGGTATCCTCTTACACATATCGGAGCCGCGTCACATAAGGTATCCTCATTCATCAGAGCCCCCTCTCAGAAACGGTACCCTCTTTAGCACAATTTAGCGGATCAACCAACACGACTGCATGCATGCATGCATATGCACACCTCGCGATAGTCATCATATAGGATCCTCTGCCCAGACTGCGTCCTGCCGGCCTCTATCACGATCGAGGGGCTCGAGTACGCCAGAGACGACACGTACGACGAATGCATCGAGTAGAAGCACATGAGCAGGGTCGCGCCGAGGGTAACGGCGAAGGCGAGCCCTCGACCGACGCCGGCGGCGGCGGGTTGGCTTCCTCCTGCTGCACGCGCGAGCGATAACATCAATATTTTCTTAATACAATTCATCTCTCTCCAGGGATGCGTTTGTTTGTTGTTTGATCTTCACTTCAAATCAGTGCTACATTTGCATACTATCCACCGGTGAGTGTCCAGGGGTGGGGGTCACAGCAGGATATCGGATTGACCGGTGAGGGGGGGAGACTGGGGTCTTTTCACTGATGAGCCTGTTAGCCCGGTCGATATCACGCAAACACGCAGGCGGCCTTTCGAAAACTCCAACGGGTTAGCGCAGTCTACACTGCCAAAATTTACCCCCACACGCGCGCGCACACACATACACACCTGACGGCGAGGCTGCGACTGAAGCACGACCCTTACCCCCTCCCCCGCCCCCGCCCCCGCCCCCGCCCC